TCAGTCTTATTATGCATAAAAAGAAATAATTTATCAAGCAAAGGCAGGAAATACAGAGTGAGATAGAAGATCAGTGTACTAGTTGAAAGCCCTTCTCCTTGGTAAGAGCCAACAGCTCCATTGCTCAGCAGCAAAGCATCCACCACATGGGAGCCAAAATTTCATGTCTTTGACCTTGACTGTGTCCTGTGGAGAGGCTTAAGAAGGTTTTGAATTGGAAGCAATCTGTTTTGGGAAAATAAACATATCAGAAGTTTGGATAAGAAGTGGATGATTCATTGCTGGTAACAGAGCCTAAACCTCCTCCAGTGCACTTTCTCACCTATTCATGACAAGACACAGGATGAAGTGGTATGATCACAGAATCTCAGAATCATCTCGGTTGGAAGAGACCTTCAAGGTCACCTAGTCCAACTTCTGACCTAACACTAACCAGTCCTCCACTAAACCATATCACTAAGCATTACATCTAAAAGTCTTTTAAAGACGTCCAGGGGTGGTGACTCAACCACTTCCCTGGGCAGCCCATTCCAATGCCTAGCAACCCTTTCAGTAAAGAAGTTTTTCCTAATATCCAACCGAAAACACCCCTGGCACAACTTCAACCCATTCTCCCTCGTCTTGTCGACAGCCGCATGGGAGAATAGACCAACCCCCACCTCACTACAGCCTCCTTTAAGGTACCTGTAGAGTGTAATAAGGTTGCCACTGAGCCTCCTTTTCTCCAGGCTGAACAATCCTAGCTCCCTCAGCTGCTCCCCATAAGACTTGTTCTTCAGACCCCTCACCAGCTTCATTGCCCTTCTCTGGACTCGGTCGAGCACTTTGAGGTCCTTCTTGTAGCAAGGGGACCAAAACTGAACACACTACTCGAGGTGCAGCCTCACCAGAGCTAAGGACACGGGGACAATCCCTTCCCTAGCCCTGCTGGTCACACTGGTTCTTATACAAGCCAGGATGCTGTTGGCCTTCTTGGTGTAGTGGGTTTAAGTGGCAAGGTTTTGGTAGCAGGGGGCCATAGGGGTGGTTTCTGTGAGAAAGATCTAGAAGCTGCCCCACGTTTGGGAAGGGCTCCATTGTTTTCCAGAGCTGAGCCAATAAGCGATGTTGTTTTGCGCCTCTGTGAGAGCATCTTTAAGACAGGGAAAAAAACGCTGCGCCACACAGCAGCTGGGAGAGTGAAGGGAGTGAGGAACTGCCTTGCAGGCACCAAGGTCAGTGTAGAAGGAGGGGGAGAGGTGCTCCAGGTGCCGGAGCAGAAGTCCCCTGTGGCCTGTGGTGAGGACCATGGTGAAGCAGGATGTCCCCCTGCAGCCCATGGAGTACCACGGTGGAGCAGGGTTCCATGCTGCAGCCCGTGGAGGAGACCACGGTGGAGCAGGTGGACCTGCACCGATGGAGGCTGCCGCCTGTGGAAGACCCCTGCCGGAGCAGATTCCGGGCCAGACCTGTAGCCTGTGGAGAGGAGCCCACGCAGGAGCAGGTGACCTGGCAGGAGCTGCTGCCCGTGGGGGAGCCAGGTTGGAGCAGTTTTCTCCTGAGGGATGGACCCCATGGTATGGACCCATATCTGGAGCAGCTCTGGAAGAGCTGCTGCCTGTGGGAAGCCCACGCCAGATCAGTTCATCAAGGACTGTATCCCGTGGGTGGGACCCCACAGAACAGGGGATGAGAGTGACTGAGAAGGAGCAGCAGAGAAGAAGCGCTGTAGACTGACCATAACCCCCATTCCCCTGTTCCCCTGCGCTGCTCGGGGGGAGGAGGTGGAAGAGGGTGGATGGGGAGGAAGGTGCTTTTGGTTTCTTTCCTTTGTTTCTCACTTCTCTAGCTTGTTAGTAATAGGCAATAAATCTTACTATCTCCTTATGTCGAGTCTATTTTGCCCGTTACAATAATTACTGAGTGATTTTCTCATCCTTGTCTCAACCTTTGAGCCCTTTTCACATATTTTCTCCCCATTCCTCTTTGAGGAGGGGGAGTGAGTGAGCGGCTGAGCGCTCGGCTGCCCACTCGAGCTGAACCAGGACACTTGGCCATCTGAGCACACTGCTGGCTCATATTCAGCTGACTATCAACCAATAATCCCAGGTCCTTTTCCGCCAGGCAGCTTTCCAACCACTCATCTCCCAGCCTGTAGCTCTGTTATTGTTCCCCAGGTGCAGGACCCGGCACTTGGCCTTGTTGAACTTCACACAGTTGGCCTCAGCCCATCAATCCAGCCTGTCCAGATCCTCCTGCAGAGCCTTCCTACCCTTGAGCAGATCAACACACGCACCTAACTTGGTGTCATCTGCATGATGACACAGGGCTACTGGGGTAAGTGGGAGAATATGTAATGAATGCATATCCTTTTCGCTTGAAAAAGCTACTACACCACTGAGCAGGTTGAAGCATAATTCACTGCACAGAGTAGGAGGTAGAGAATGAGGTCTTTGTAGACCACCAAAGTCATTCAGATCTTATGCTAATCACCGATTTTGCATAGAGTATAAAAGCATACAGGGACTACATGGTTGCTGCAAGTCATAGCACAATGTGTCTTTACCCTATTTCATAACAATTAGGTGAGTAGCAATGATTTCTTGAAGATAATGAGAGAAAACAAGCAAATCAGGAACAGTCTTATTGGAGGTGGCAAGGGGAGAGATGAAGGGAACTATCACATTTTTTTCAGTGACTTTCATCTGAGAACACTGAATAGTTTACAGATATCAAACTATACAATCTCTTTATCAAGGAGATGTATAATAACACTTGCACTTTACTGAAAAAAAAGGTAACTTTAAGATTAAATTACCTCTGAATGTTACCTGTATTTCAAGCTAGAAAACAATATAACTCACTCCAGCCTTGACAGCTGCAGACAGGCAGATTCATTGTTCCTGTTTCTGACCTAGATGTAAGGCCATAATGAATTTTCTACCTTTATAAATACCATTCCAGCCACCTAGCTGGGCAGAGCCATCCTGAGCTTCCAAGTGTCCTCCACGATCAGAGGCAAAGTATGTGAACGTATGATTTTCCAAACCTTCCTTGTCAAGTGAATCCAGAATTTTGCCTTAAATTTAAGAAGAGAGACGGAAAGTTTCCTATTAAGCAATTAGAAAAATCACCCCACATTTATAATGTTTCAATAATAATCTTTTGCAATGCGCTATGAGAAGTCTTTAACAGCTTAAATTTCTGTGGATATTTTGGTTTTATTAGTTCTCCTGCTTTAAAATACACAGGCATATGTATCTGAAACACATCCTTCATCAAGAATACTTAACCACCATCAAGTCCATTTCTTCTACATTGTCTCCATATAAACCATGATGGCTTTTCCCAATAAATTTTGCTGTGGTGAAGAGAGGGGTGTGAACATGTAGAAAGGAAACAAAGAGAAGGAATGGTCCATACCTGTTTCTTAAAAAACAACAAAAAATTATAATCATTTTTGATGTACATTTGTAATATTTTGAGTTTTCATATTCATCTATGCATAGACATAATGGGTCTATACTGTGCCCACACATAACGCACCTCATTGATCATAGTTAATTATTGTTGGATTAAATGTAGGCAAGAAGGATCATTTCCAGCCAGATTATTTTCAAATTCCAATGTGTAAACAGGCATAGCATTTACACAGTGCTTAAATGAATCAGTTGACTGGCTCTGATGCCTCTTTAATTAAATGCAAATGGATACAGTCTTATGTTTACTTTAAGATTTATATGGCTTTTCTAAGATGGCCTTTTATACTTGTCAGTACATTTGTTTTCACAGATTTTAAGAAAAGAATAGTTATTCTCTTTGTTTTCCAGAAAGATATTTGGCACACTGAATTGTTTATCATCAGCTGTGCAGGCCAAAGAGTAACTTGAAGCTAGTAAATGAATGATCTTAGTTCCCTTTTCAAGTGTTTGAATGGCATGAAAATGGAATTCAGGTGTTTTGAGATTTTCACAAGATTTTGTGCATCATGCACCTTTTATCTGTGTGTTTTATAAGGATTATGAGAAAAAACAAAAATGAGGCTTGTAGAGTAAAATGTAAAAATAAGCTGGTTAATCTTGGAGTGAATTAACTATGTACAGATTAGAGTGTATAGTGAGATGGTCATGTATGATTTGGTGAAAAGCCATCTCATTTGCTGTCACTTCAAAAGTGGGCAGTTGCAATTAAAATTTAAGTCCTTTGGGTTTTTTAGTAGGGAACTTGGATGTGAGTTTCAAAGTTATCAAGATATAGCTCTAGGTATTGTGGAAAAAAAATACTATTCCAAGAGCCCAGAGTATCCTCCCACTTTTAAAGAAAACCACAGTCATTTACCTTTTGATAAATGACACTGCCTCTTTCAGCATGAGGGAAGTGGTCCTCTCTAATCTCATCAGCTGCTCAGTGACATCATGGTTTCTCATCAGGATACAATTCCAGTGCTGCACTAAGCCATAACCGGAGTACCATGAAATAAAGAAAAGGCAGTCCACCAAAGTAAAACAGGCAATTATCTTCCAGCAGATGGAAATCAAACCAGTCAGTTTTCCAGTAGTAAGAGTGATCACAGCAATAATAATTATCTGACTGTAAAATCAAAGTTTAGCTTGAAGGGCTACATCCAGCTCTGGAGGTTTGTTTTCTTGACTATTGTTCAGAAGTGTGAAAGGCATGTCATAACAGTAATCAAACTCATGATTTAGAGGGTGGTGACAATGATCATTGAAGGATTTTCAGTTTACACCTTGATACCACTTTCCTGAAAGTTTTGAAGCATGACAGAAATTAGAACATAAAGGTGGACAACTCAAAAGGAGCCCAAGGTAGCATTGTAAATATCTGCCTGGGGATTAGGTGAATCACTCCCTTTTTCAATGTAGTATTGAGGTACATAAGAATGCAGGGAGAAACCAGTGCTTGATCAGGTGAATGTTGTATCATGATATGCAACCCCCATGCAACGAACAGAGAAATCTGCAGGGTGGTCAGCTACTGAAGTGATGAGGGTCACATAGGGATGGGATTTTAATCACCTTTTAATGAAGATCAGGGAATTACAGTACTCTAAATCACCATCTGCTTTATTACATCCACTTCCCAACTTCAAATGTTTTACTTGCAACTTCATTTTAATATAATGTTACAAATTTACTAGAAGATCCAGTAAGCCTTTTGCCTACATTACCAAACATTTTGATCACCAGACTCAGGAAGATGATTTCCCAGGCATTATCCCTACTCAACATGAAAAGGAGAAAAAGCTATATTCCAACCATTCACTCCATCCCTGCCCAGTCTCCCTAACAGATCAAGCAAACAAAAACTATTTTCTGCTTAGAAAACTGCTGGATCAAAGCACCCTAATATTTGCTGGGTTACACAATTGCCAAGTAATTTATAGACTCAGCCAGGAAGACTTCACTTCATTAGTTTGTGATTCCATACAGCTGTATTTATTTCCAGAACTTGGAGATGACTGCATTTGGCACAGCTGAAGCCCATCACTTTAAGGGACACAATGCTTACCCTACCTATTAATTCATGCTAAGGCAATCATTGCAGAAGTGTATATCACTTGAGCAGTAGTAAAAGCAGAATAGAAGTGAAAAGAGACACTTAGCCAGTCCATTTTTGAGTATTTGGCAAAAGTAGATGAAACTTGAAACTGTTGAAATCTTATCAAAGTCACAGATAGGAAAGTCCTCCAGGGCAGTGTTTCTCTGACATCTTTGTATCTTGGCTTTATCTGAGAGAACTGCTACAGTACCATGACTCTTTGGGACCTCACAACCTCACCTGTGAGACATCACCTGCTCTGTGGGTACAAGCTTTATTTCTTTCTTTCCCTATCCGCTTTGGTTTATTTGCCTCTTGACTCCTAAAGGCAGGCGAAACACTTAAAGACTGTTTTATCTGGAACAATCTCGATGTCAACAAAACTCTTTCAGTGGACCAATCATTAAAAAGTCTTAGGCCAAGTAAAATAAATTCTCACTCATTATAATCATGAGTTGGGTTTTAATCCTTCCTGTCTCCCATACCCTATACAGGCATTCATATTTTCTTAAAACTCTTTACACCACAGTATTTTAAATTTTGCAAATACAAGTTGTTGTTTTCTCTCCTCAATCTTTTGGAGAGTATTCACGGACAATTTGGGGCAATTACAATCCCTAAATTCCCTTCATGTAACCAGGTCATTTTTCAGACTCATTCTAAAACTTTTTCATGTACCTATCAGCCCAGTGGCATAGCCTTGTTGCTGTAGAAGCTTGGAAAAAGTTGTTTCATTTTCAGGGGGCCCTTCTGATCCAGCATTCCACTGCAGCGCTCGGTACCAATTGCTGGAAGCCATCCCTGGTGGAAATAGCTAAGTCAGTCCTGCCAGCCTCCTGCACTCTGCTTGCTGGGCTGCTCCTCTCAGCCCCATATCTGGTACTTAACTTGAAGACAGCAGGGTGCTACATTCTGCCAAGCATATATTGAAGGCAGTCATATCATGTTATCGATAGTGTGCCTAAGTGCTTCAGATAGTCAAGGGTTATCCGTCAAAACAAATACTGCTTGGCACCAGATTTACCATCAAGTTAAGAATTAATCAATAGTGAAGTTTGCACAAGCCTACCTCTCAAGCTTGCACAGGTCCCTCTATCTGGCACCCGTTCCTTCCAGCATGTTAACCGCACCAAACAGCTTCTTGTCATCTGCAAACTTTGAGTGAGGGAGCACTCAATCCCAATGTCCATGTCACCAACAAAGATGTTAAACAGTGTCAGTCCCAATGAATAACACCACCTTTTACTGATCTCCACTTGGACATTGAGCCGTTGACCAGCTCTAGGAGTGCGACTGTCAAGCCAATCCCTTATGCACTGAGTGGTCTGCCCATCATATCCACGTCTCTCCAATTTAGAGACAAGAATATCATGGGGGACAGTATCAAATTCTTTGCACAAGTCCAGGTATATGACCAAGTAGATGATTACTCTTCCCCTATCCACCAATGCTCTAACCGCAACACAAAAGGCCACCAGATTTGTTAGGCACAAACTACCCTTATTGAAGCCATGTTGGCTGTCACCAAGTACCTCCTTATTTTCCATCTGCCTTAGCATAGTTTCCAGGAGGATCTGCTCCATGATCTTACCAGACACAGAGGTGAGACTGGCTGGTTTATAGTTCCCTAGGTCTTTTTCTCCTTTTTAATGGAGCTATTCCCTTTATATAGAGCTATATTAAACATACATAACTTGTACTGAGAGGATCCCTACTTTATGATACTGGTACAACTGAAAAACAATTCCAAGTTTGTCATAAACCCACAGCTGCCTTCACTCCATGCATCTTTCCAAACAAGTGTTAAATCACCACAGGATGTACTTTCCAACATCTTGAATGTATGAATGTTACTAAAGAACAGCTGTAGAAAACATGAAGCATCAAATTTCCCTCAATGAAATAAACACTTTTCTGGAGCATTAGGTAGTCTTCTGTGGACAGGAAGCTAAGGATGGAAGATTTAATTGTTTTAAGAATGTCTGTCTTAATCATCCTCTGCCTACTGGCTTTTTTCATAACTGAATTAAAAGAGCCCAAAAGGACATAGCTAATATCATATCAACCACTTTTTGTATATTTTTTATGCACTCAAAATATGTTAGAGCCATAAATTACTGCAATGTGATTTAAACATTGCTAAATCTGAAATTTATTATATCCCATTGCTGTCTTTATTTTTTTTTCTCAGTTTTTGTGGTAAATAGTAATTTTGCTGAATTTACAATACTGACACTGAATGATAAATGTCTTAAAAGCCTGAAATTTTCAAAGCATTTCACAGTTATTCATTTAAAAAAGTCATCCTCTGAAGAATTTACTCCCAGAATTACGTATGTAAATGAATTACTGTCAACTCGCAAATGGCTTGAGAACAAAGCATTCAAAAGGAACAATGTGATATTAGAAGACATTAATGAGCTTCTGCATATGGATTCTTTAAACCCTCTGCTTTGCAAGAGTCATTTCAAATACATAAAAAAAAAAGAGGAAAAAAAAAAAAAGAATTTATCTCTGTTCTGTGGATCTGCATGAAAATTATTTAATCTGTGTCTGTGAGTGACCAGAATTAACATGACTGGCAAAACAGTGGTGATAAAGTTATTGTAGGAAACTCATTGACTGCCTGCCGGGGTGGTCTCTTTGGAGGATGGTCAATGACTGGGAAAGCCCTGTTGCACCCGCTGCTTCACCCTGTCCTAGTGATATTGACTGCAATTAGATTATCGTGTGTTTAGTTACACCTGTGCTGTCTTGCTGTGAAGGCCCTCTTCCTGGAGCGATTGGTAGTGCAAGTTAACCACTACTAAATCCCAACAGTCAACACCAGGTGTAAGAGCATGACTATTTGAGAGTCTCTAGTTCCCATATGCTTTGTGCAAATTTACATAGGGCATCTGTAGTATGTTTCCCACACTCTCCATGATCTGCATTATCCATAATGATCAAGGGCCATGAAGTGGTAAAAACCTAGAAAATTCGACTTGTATCTTGAGTGACTGGGCGGTCCAGAATCTCCTCAGATAGTCTGTGCTTTGGTGAAAGAACAAGCAAACAGATCTCAATGGGTTCTAATAATGCTAACCTTTCTGAAAGCAGATTTTCATTAACTGTTATGTACTAAATGAGTTTTATGTTGTCTGCGCCATATTAACTGGGTATAATTGACCACAGGCAACAGGACTATGCAAAAAAGACCCGAATGCAATGTGTCTTGGGAAGAGCTTCAGGTCAAAAAGTGGCAGAAGTGCAACATTTGAAACTTCTGGGAAGGTACAGCATAATGACTGGTCGTGGGCCAATTTTATTGACTTCATGGGCGACCATTTGCTTATAAAACTCCTATAAAGGGAGATTTGTGGCTGGGGTGACATTGTTATGTAGCTGTTTAACAGCACATGGAGGAATAAGACTGAAGGGGAAGAGTCACATGTTGGTGCCTAGGAGATGATCCTGAGACTGGAACAAGCAAAGGTTTTGTCCCCCCCAATAAGTGTGCTTTCATGGCCAAACCCCAATGACCAGCACAATGTCTAGTTCAGATATTTTCCTCTGCCATCCAGCTCCAAACAGATATCCTGCAGTGCTATGAAGTATCCCTGTGCAAGAAAAATTGTTTCAGTTACATGAACAGGTCTTACACCCACATATTTTTAAAGGTGTTAAAAAACTGAGAGGATGTAAAATCCCAGATACTAGACTGGCTTAAGAATGGAAGTGAAGCCTTGGAAAAAGACTGAAAAGATTAATAAATGCTGGCCTTATTGCAGTAAACTGTTGTAAAGAAAATACTGGCTATCGAACATGAAAATACCTTTAAATCTATCCAAGAAAAAAAAACAAAACACAATGAAATCAAATAAATTCTCGTGAATAACACTGAAGGAGCATCTAGGTGCTCTTCTGGGAGCAAGAGTCTGTGAAATGCATGAGGTCGCAGCATGCAATTCAGCTTTGCTTTTAATCTGTAGGATTTTATTTACTTGCAGATTTCCCATTGGATGAACTGTGGGGAACAAGGGGGAAAATAAAACCACAATAAGTCCAACATTTATCAAAGAGGAGAAATGGGTCCTAGCCATTGCTAGGGCAGCAAGATAACTTAAGTGACCTGTGCCCAAATGACTAAACTGGTAATCTGTGTTGTGCTTCTGTGACCATGAATGCCACTATGCCCTTGCCAGTGCTGCTTAGGAAGCTCAGTGCAATGGGGGCTTTGGAAAGGGAAAAACTTTTGCTCTTTGTGTTCTCCATCAAAAGAGGCTGACTCCAACCAGAGGAGTCCTGTCATTCTTAAAAAGCACGGAAGTCCCCAGCTCATCACATTTTTAAGCTTTGTGCTTCAACTAGACAATTAATCCTTAACCAGGCAGTTAATCCTGATCTAGAAGTCCCAGGCTACCCAGCTGCCATCATTAATGCTGCTGGAGAGACTAACTACATGGAAGGAAGGAATCAACTTATAAAGGAGTTTCTGGGAGGAACTGTAGGTAGAATTATTCTGGAATTATTTGGGAGGCAGGAGGAAAAGTACTCTGCAAAAATATTTTATAAGAGCCTGCTATGCGTTGCCAGTAAGTATAAAAAATTAAGGGACATCTCAGTCCCTGAATGACTTAGAAATTCAGAACAAAAAAGAAAACTAAGCTTCTAAATGTACATTCATAAACAACAAAATATAAGTAATATAATTACTGGTACAGCTATAACATTGGCCTGTTTCAGTGCATTTGAACTATTCATTCAGTTGTCAGCGGATGCAAGTTAAAACATGCAGTTCAGATCATACTGTTGTTGTCCCTCCCTGAGAACATCCAGCTTAAAGCCAACTTTACCAAATACTGTGCCACTCACTGGAGAAATTGTCAAATAAAGACTTCATCAAAAACAAAACAAACAAACAAATTAATCAACTCACCAATAAACACCCCCAGAGAAAACATATATGACCTGAAAACTTTGGTTTCAGGAAAATTTGCTTGTTTCCCTTATAGGTCAGCAAGTTCACTATCACCTTCCTTATCACACCAACAGAAAGGGAATGTCCCACAGCAGGGCTGCAGCCACGGCTTCCAGATGATGTTGTACAGGGAGAGCTGCTCTGGTACTGGAGTCAGTGTCCTGCGGTGCTCTTCTATGGCTCTCCCAATCCGCTCTACCACAGTGTCAAAGAGGGGCTCAGTGTCAGCTGACAGAGGTTTGGCTTCAGAAGGGTCTCGTGAAAGGTCAAACAGCAACGGAGGCTCATGCTGGGTCACACCTTCCCCAAAACATGGGCAAAATCCTCTGTCGTAACAAGCTCCAGCCCCGAGTGGATGGAATTTTGGGGTCACATAATGAGCCTTCCAGGTGGCTCCACCTGGCAGGAAAGAAAGAAGACTTTCAGTGATGCTGGTGGTTATCACCAGGTGTGTATCACAGGAGTGAATGTTTTCCTAGAGTTCATTTTTGGGCACTGGGTTGCACTTCAGCTCTATACTCACTAGTTGACATAGTATTGTAATTTCATTTAAATTAAATGCTACAAAATTAAATCAATAATTTGAAATGATTTCTATTTTTTTCTAATTTTCTAGTTTTCCAGCAGATATCACTTATCCCTGATTTTTTATTTATTTATTTATTTATTTATTTATTTATTTATTTATTTATTTATTTATTCTATGAAGACATGCAAAAAAGATTTGAGGTTTCCATGGCTTGCTTTCAGGTAGCAGAAGGACAGACAAAAGACTGAGGAAAAGACTGAGACATGAGACAAAAAGGGCATGGACTTCCCAGGCCTAGCATTCAAATAGAGAGGTAGGTGAGACCCATCCTGAACACTAGTATCCTGCCTAGCATGACAGAGCTTGTGTCATGTGCCTGGAAGCTATGAGCAAAAACTTATTGCCATATAAGTAACGACAATGATATTAAGTTCTTTATCACCTTACACCTGGAATTAGTTGGAAAGCTGCAGTCCGAGAAAAACAAAACAAAACAAACCAAAACCAAAAAACAAAACAAAACAAAACAAAAATATGTTAGATAAATCTACCTTCCTTTAGACTGACCTCAATTCTTCAAAAGGATTCTTGTACTCACTGTCCTTCTGGTGCCACCGCACAGCATGTAAGTGAATGCCACAGTAATGAAACAGGAACTCATGCTCTGAGTGCTCAACTCTTCCTTGCAGTAAAGGCATCAGATCCCGGCCATCAATAACCCTAACAGAAAAAAGGGATGCCATCAGATTGGGTTAAGTTGTACGGCACTGTGTTTCCCCTGTACACCCCTGGTTGGAATTGACAGCTTTGAACAAGGAAGAGTTTGTAGAAGACTGCAAGTAGATGCTGAATCTCAAATGAAGGAAGAGGTGACTGAGCTGTGGTAACATTTATGTGTCTAGAAAAGGATCAGGAGTGATAAACAACATGGTAGGCCCTTAGAACTTGTTTCCAAAGTAGGTTTTCTATTGTTTTGGGAGAAAAGGGGGAATAATGACACTTATGTTTGTACCTGTCCTGTGGTACTACCCCTCCAGCCAGATGAGTTACTGTGGGGTAAATGTCCATAAGGCTTGTAGGTTCGTTGATAACTGTGCCAGCAGGTAACACTCCTGGCCATCTAAGTATTCCTGGGACACGGATTCCTCCTTCCCAGCCTCCCATAGCTTTTCCACCTTTAATCAAAAAAAAAAAAAAAAAAAATCATTAAAGTAAACATTTAAAAAATATATATTTCAGTTGAATGATACTGTATTAACATAAAACTATTTTTATCTTCATGAGTCTTCTGTACCCTCTTGATGTTACCACTAACTTCCTTCTCCTCAGCATCACTGATAATGTGTTCACTATATTACCCCATTTGTGACCTTATACTTTTACTCCTTTTTGTTATTTTATAAACACATAGTCCCATTAGAACTCAATGTGGATACATTTTCAGATATAAAGTGATTACACAGCCAAGTTCTCCTCTCTTTTGCAACCATATAACATACCTGTTGCAGTTAAAACAAAGTCTCAGATGTCAGATGAAGCTAATATTTATATATTATAAGTTACAACTAATAATTAAGCTAATAATATTTATATAAGTTACACATTCTTAATGAAAATTAACTTGTGATCAGTTGCTTCGTGAGGAAATGACAGCTTGAGAATTATTGCTTAAAAGAACATCTACACATGCTAGGACTGTGTATATTTTTGAATGCATAGTTAATAAGAGACAAAAATGCTTCTCAAGGATAAAAAGAGTTAACCCTGAAGCATGCAGTCTTATCTCATTTTTAGAGGTGTTCTGAGTACTTTGCTAGTTGTTGCTGGGTTGTCACCACCCCTGACAGCTCTTACCTCTGTATATTCCATTCCAGCCACCAAGCTGCCTTGTATCTTCTTGTCTTTCCAGCCATCCACCGTGATCAGAGGCAAAGTAAACCAGTGTAGTACTTTTCAAACCTTCCTTGTCAATAGCATCTAGAACCTGCCCTGTAAACACAGGAATATACGTGCATTAAAAAAATAAAAAATGTAGCTCACACAATATGGGTTTTAGCCTCTGACTTGCAAACATTAAAAAATGTAGGTCTACTCAGTGTTTAAAGGAAGAGTTATACAGCACTGAGATTTATAGATGTCATTTCACTGTCTATATAAAAGCACACAAAAAAAGACATGCCCTAAACCCTTCATGCAAGAACTACACCAGAAGTCTCTAGCCTCTATTGTAAAGGAGTGGTGTGCTGTAAAAATATGGAAAGAAATCTTTATTGAAGGTTCCCAGAAAGTAAGATTCTGCATAAGTGATGGCCATAGAGAAAAAATGTCTTATACATTTATCTTATAATTTTCTAGACCTTGGCTAGTATTTACATCAAGTTACTGGTATCATTTAACATATATTAACAATGTAAATCTTTTTTTTTTTTTTTTTTTTTTTTTTCTTCTTGATCTGATTCTGCCTTTTTAAGTATATCTTCAGTGTGCAAGTGTTTGAAAGATAGGTATGAAAAACTATTCTTTCTGTACATATACACCTGATTATTCCTTTTACAAATGTAACTACTTTTCCTACTGCATGGTTGGATAATAAAAAAATATTCTCCTTCTCCTTGAAAAAAACAGGTTCAAAAATTACTTGAATCTAATTTCTGGAAACATCAATTAACATTTATGAACATCTCTGGATTAGTGACTGGACTGAAAAATATTCAGTACTCTGCTGAATTCATCAGTCACAGAAAAATAGCCTGCTGTCTAACACCTGGAACTACATTTCTTATCAGTTTTATCACCTTCTTATGTGTGCTACTTAGAAGCAGATAAGACATGAACAGAAGAGGCTGAAATTACATGATCTGGAATAAATAAAGAAAGTTAAATAGTTCTTAGTTCATGTAGTATTTACAAAGAGAAGCAGATGGTTATCTTCAGAGCAGCCAAGGGGACATGGTTATAACTGGTAAACACTAGACAAAAAAATAGATTCACTTGGTCCAAAACTGGAGAAAATAAAAAGCCAACAGTGTAAGCAGTGCTCATACAAGGCTGATGTTACGACTTTTTTTTTTTTTCCTTCTTGCTTTTAATTCTCTTCCTTGTTTTTTGAATGAATAACAACTGCATTTTTATTGCATATTCACACCTAGGCATTAGCTAGAGAGACACTCTTATTTGCTATGGCCACTTACCCACCATCCAGTCCATCTCCTCTACATTGTCTCCATACAAACCATGGCTGCTCTTCCCAAGAAACTTCTCTGTGGTGAGGAGAGGGGTGTGGGAGTGTAAAAAGGAAAGAAAGAGGAGGAATGGCTTGTGCTTATTTCTAAAAAACAGAAATCAACGCTTTGTTACTAGGAGGAGGGTTCTCAATACATATAGAGGTCAATAATAATGGAAAACAGTATTATGATTTACATATGTATTTCAGCAGCCACTTCAGAACTATCTTACTTTGTAAGGTATTAAAATCCAGTGATTAGGATCTGTCTGATAAAATAATGTTTGGTTCTCTTTTTTCTCTGAATCATACATAGAAAAGTTTCATATTGAAGCTCCAATTTCATCTCTTGTAAACCATCACCATGCTACTGAAATGAAGACAGTGAGTTCATTGCCTGTCAGTGGCTCCCCACATCGGTCCATACAGTAACGTTAATCCACAGCTCTTCTTATCTTTCCCTTACCCATACACACATTTCTGCCACAAGCTGTTGTTATCCTTTAAAGTTTCACTGTTGGACTCACGGAATGGAATTGAATAGAATGGAATTGAATAGAATGGAATAGAATAGAACAGAACAGAACAGAACAGTTCTGGTCCTACAATGATGAGAAAGTCCAACTGCCTGACCACTTTGGGGCTAACCAAAAGTTAAGTCATATTATTAAGGGCATTATCCAATGTCTCTTGAACACTGACAGACATAGAAATATGCATTTCCTCAAAATAGTCTATGAACATTCAATCTAATATGTGGAAATTTGGAAAGGTTATCCACTTCAATGAAGCTAGGAATAACAGATGTCTTTAAGAGGCAGTTAATTTATGGCTTAATACTGTAGTGCCATTATTAGCATTATTAGTAATTAATAGGCATAATGCTATTTATATTATTTTATTTATTATATTATTTACAGTTATAGAAATTACAGTTTGCCCAGAGAAACCATGGATGCCCCATCACTGGAAGTATTCAAGGCCAGGCTGGATGGGGCTTTGGACAACCTGGTCTGGTGGGAGATGTCCCTGCCCATTGGAGGGGGATTGGAACTGGGTGGGATTTAAGTCCCTTCCAACCCAAACCATTCCGTGATTCTAAGATTCTACAAAGACTTCACATGGGAAAATGCTGTTGAAAGATATGCAAGAACCAGAATAAATGTGATCAAAGGAAATTTAGTTTACCTTTCAATAAATGCAATGGACTCTCTCAAGATAAGTGATGTAGTCCTTTCTGTCACCATTGGCTGCTCAGTAATTTCATGGTTTCTCATCATAATGCAGTTCCAGTATCTCACAAATCCATAGCTTGAGAACCATGACACAAAGAACAGGAGACTAAACCCAGCAAGACAGGTTAGTGTTTTCCAGCGGACTGGAATCAAGCCAGTGATTCTACCTAGGGCAGCAGTGAGTGTAAAAAGGCAAATCATCTGAGTGTAAAGCCAGAGTTTCCTTCTGAAGACTCTGTCCATCTCTGGTGCTTCTGTTGTTTGGCAGTCACTTATTAGCGTAAAAGGCATCCCATAAAAATAATCAAACCCATGGTTCAAAGGGTGATGACAGTGGTCGTTGCGGGATTCACAGTTAACACCTTGATGCCACTTCCCTGAAAATATGCATTATTAAAACATAGAGTTAATATTTACAAATGAACTTTTTCTCATTAATAACATTTCTCAAAAAATGTTTTCTTTTCCTACTTCTTCATCCTACAGATACATACTGATTAGGGACCAATAAAATGGAATATATCTTATAATTGGTGAAAGTTAACCACTACAATTTATGAATTCCCACCAGAGTTATTTCCACCACCCAGTTAGGGTGCTCTGTATTCATGCCATGTAGCTTTGATCAAATGCAACAAAGTCTGAACTATAAAGGCAACAAGAAATAAGGAAGACCTCGGGTTTTAAGAACTTTGTAAAATGTATGGCTTTCCTGGAGACCTGTCAGGTATGAAATAGGAGGAAGGAGTCCTTTTGTAAGCATAGGTAAAAATAACACTGTTCTGTTGTCTCTTTACTTTTAAGATGCTATGGATTTATTTATTTATTTATTTATTTTTCCTGGAAGTTTTGGATGACTTAATGGCAGTCCTGTGGCAACACTCAGTGATGTGTTAGTGACAGCTATGACAGCGCAATTAATTAGCTTGCATCTCAACAGTGAGTTTGCCAGGCAAACCATCAGATCCAGAATAATTTGAGCTCAGGAGATCAAGATTTATCATGAAATTACACATATGTAAGTAACTTTGCTGATAATAATATCTCCATATTTTGGATGAGAATAGAAAGTTTTGTTTTATAAATATTTTGTTGTCATTTATTTGTATTTAGTCAAGTTTTAAATCATCAAAGACTTTTTTTTTTTTTTAATTTAAATAATAAAGTCTTCATATATCAAAAGGAACACCTCATGGCTGTTTGCAATTGCAATACCATTTGTTCTTTATTATGAACATATGTCCACTATTATGATGAATAGCACATCAAAATCATACGTTTCCTGCCTCTTAAGTCTATTCAACCAGACTGGTTAGGTACTTACAGGGAAACATAACAAGTTGTTTCATTTGGCTCAAACACTGAGGCTTACAGATATGTGAATCGAGTGATCAGAATCTACCCTTTTTTTTTTTTTTTCTTCTTCTTTTTTTTTTTTTTTGGTTGTTTTGTTTTGTTTTCTCAGAGGAGCAGTTTAATTAACTCCGATGTAATGTAGGCTTTGGATACCAGATTTAAAGATCAAAATGAACTCTTTGAATTTTACTTGAAAACTAATTTGCAACCAGTTCTTATTGTGGAGTAAAGAATTGTGCACTGACAAAAACATATTATCCTAAGCAATTGGTTCACTATGTTACAACTACATATACTAACAGTGAGACCCCTGAGTAGATTTCAAAAGAATTGCAATGCATTACAATAGGAGCAGAAAAATCTACTTTGGAGGGGAAAAATGCTACTTTTTGGATGTAAATATAAAATTTTATTATTGGTGGATGAATTATTTTCAGATAAAATTCAGTTTACCTCAAAATATATTTAGAGACAACTATAAAATGAGACAAGTGAGTAATAAACATACAAATGTATTGGTCATAAATACAGGTGCAGTTAATGTATTCTTGGGCTTCAGATGCACTTCAACATCTAAATCTCTAGCTGAGATTGATAAAGGCTTCTGACATGCTGCAAAAGACTCAAAGCCATAGATAATAAATTGTCTGATTAAGATAAATTAATCTTTGCGGCCCTATTATACAACAGTATATTTCTGACTACAAAGACTTTGTAAAGCATTTCTCAACATAAAGTCTGCTTATCACGTTAAGCCATAGTTTATTAGTAGGAATTAACTTTACAGTCACACTGGCTGTGCTCATAACAAACCAAACATAAACCACTTAGGTGGATCAATTTAGTGGCTATTCAGCTGCGGCGATGTGGGCATGTGCTGTGTAAGATTTCTTGCTTCATGACTCAGCTCAGGAACATTTGTGTTTCCTCAGTCTGTGAAACTATGTGATATATCTAAGATAAACAATTATTTGAAACTGGATCATGACAAAAAAAGTTATGACTGTGTTAAAAAAATGTCCTATAAAATATAAAGTAAAATGGATTTCTTATTAATGCTGAAGGAGATAATGTTTCATGGGCTGTACTGAAATACTGGTGAACTACTGTGGCATGCTGCACTTAAATAATTGTTTTGTTTGTTTTTGAAAGACCAAATCCTGTGACATTTTGAACTGATTCTATTGCTTTAAGTAGCAGCTGTTGTCTTTTCTATAGAAAAAAAACAGCTCTGTCTGCTCTGCTCTGTGTAAAGCATGCACACACATCTTTGCATGAAACTCATGTATTTGTTTCTTATTTAATAGCACTGGAATAATTATCATATAACTGGTAGAATAGTATTTAAGGGATATTTTTAACAACATATTTTCCAGTATATCTTTTAACAACCACAGGCCAATGTGTTTGAAAGCAGACCAACAGTAAAGATTGTTTTTTATCACATATTTGTTCTTTTAAGAGAGATTCTTTTTGGTCAAGACTTCTTCTTACATAATATTCTTTTATCAGGAAATAAAAATATTACTGTTGTGACATAAGCAGTTGCTAATCAAACCAAATAGTCTGAATGGAACATCCTCAGGAACATCTCTTTACCTATTAGTCCTGTGCTGTAGCCTTGTTGCTGCAGAATTTTGGCAAAAGTAGTTTCATTTGGAGGGAGCCCTCCTGAGCCACCATTCCAAAAAATAACGCGATAATTGTTTATTGCATCCATTCCTACAAAATATAATAAAATCTCAGTAAGTAGAAATGGTAGTTTTATCAAATATACTTTCTCAATTCCTGGTTTCATTGGTATTATAGTGTCAAATGTTTATCCTAATGCTGTTTATTTGGGGAAATCAATCTTGGACAGCATACAAGGATGAGATTTAAAAGATTTAATTCTCTCCATTGTGTATTACCCGTCCTTCTTAGCATCTGATACTGCACCATTTTATCTGGAATGGCACAGTCTTACAGATGCATTTCTATGTTGCAGTGGCATCCAGGCTGCATGCAGTATACTTGTCTGGTGTGTTGGTGAAGGCAGGGAGCAGGGCAGGGAGATTTCAGCCCTCTCTCAGCCTCAAACTCCAGCTTGCATAAGGCTGCCTGCAAACTCACAATGTCCCTGCATGGTGGCAAGGCTGGTATACGACTACTGAAACCCACAGGGCAGCTATATAGCACCCTAATCTTCTCCTCAGATTTACACCCTGTTATTCAGCATTATATACTGGCATAACCTCATCATATGATGTGATGTGAAGTATGAAATGTCTTAAAAGTGTTGAACAGCCCTGCTGTTACAGCGGGACACAGACTCTGTACAAGTTCATGTGCATTTTTCAGCTATCTCAGTGGGAGCTATAAGGATGAAAGTAGGATGACATGTCAGCTTCAAAATGCCTCAGGAATGAAGGCACTGAAAATTTTTGCAATAGAACAAGCATTAGAGTCACTGTTAGAAACGTACAGAGCTATTTGCTTTTCATACCTCTTCAGCTCAGGAATGCATTTTGACAGGATAGTATTTTTTCTTCAAAAACAGTACTGGGAAAAATAATGTAGCTGTCAAACTGTTATTTTGTAGGACAGATGAATTTTGATATATAGGTTTACAAAGCTGACCTGTAAATGACTCACTCTGCATGCAGACTGGGGAGAATGGGCACAAATCTGCATAGATCTATTATGTTCCCTGAAAGGCTCTGTTATTTCTTATATCTGATGAGGAGTCCCCCAAAACCAAAGTTAAATGTAACTAGTGTTTTAAAGATGTGTTACTATCATACTCTGTGTAATAACTTATTTGAATGAAACAATTTGTACCAACTCCATTCTGGCTGCAATCTGTTCAATACAGCACAAAAATGCAACCAGAGTTGCTAGCTGGTGGGGAGTGAGATGCTCTGAAAAGCTGGCTCTTCTCTGCCTTACTTCCCTCTGGGCTGGTTCATTGTATGTCATAAATATAGATGCCGCCTCCAAGGTACTAGACCTAGCTGGTGAGTCTTTTGTGTCCCTAGTCAGGGACGGTAAGTCTATGGCACTCTGTCTCTGCATGCCTTCATTCCTTTGTGCCCACTGTATGACACTCTTCCCTTCAGCAATAAAGCAATGTTTAAAAGCTACTTGGCTGTGCAAGGCAAACCTGATCGGAGAGGATATCTGCCAGTGAGGAAAGCTGCTCTGCTTGGGGTGCAAAGTGGAGCTGCAGCGATGTGTTGGGTCAGTTTCACTCCTTCCTTTGCTAGGCGATCAATGTTTGGGGTCCTAAAAATGCAACCAACACTGTCAGGTATTATTCAGAGGGCCTTCAAGGGAATGAGAATGAGGAATAGTACACTTATCTTAATTTTTGGAAGTTTATTCTATTTGAAATATTTTGATTTCTTTTATTTATTTTCAAGAAGGGGGATGATTTTTTTTTTTCTTTTCATTTAACAATAGCTACCTGGATAAATTTCAAGCCAATCATTCCCTCTTTTTTCCTAAGTCCAATGAAGGGTCTTTGCAAAATGCATCCCACTGCTCTTGAAGAAGAGAACTCATGCCTTGGGGATGATGTTATCTTGAAGGCTGAGCCATGCAGAGCCTCATCACCCGTCTATCTGAAACTTGCCTGTTGGTGCCAGCAGGGTGAGATTCTGAGATCTTTGCTGGATGCTGGGAGTGCTCCCACCAAGTCTGGTTTTGTTCAGAGAAATAACGTGCTGGTAGGAAGCCAGCAGGTATTAATGTGGCATGATTTTTAAAGAGAAGACAAATTCCATGTCCCCATGTCTGTATATAGAAGTATTTCCTAGTAACATAGTTCATCACAGTGATTAAAACTGTATTTCGATGTGAGACTTGGAAAGAATGGCAAAACAGACTTGAAAGAGGTAATGAGGCCTGATATGCTGAAAGAGGAGACAGCATTTTTATCTTCAGGTATATGCAAAAACATACCATTTCTCAGTATTGGGCAGTTAAGGAATACACAAGAACTATTGTCACATTCTCAGAGTGGAAGAGCTCTGGATAGCAGAGCTGTCTGTGGGAATGCCCTCTAGTGTGTGAGATAATCCTGGTAGTGCTTGATATTTACATAGAGGACCAAACCCCCCCCCCCCCCCAGGAAATGTCCCCAGTTCCCCAGTTCTCCAGTAAACAAATTTGAATAGAGCTCTAATGGCTGCTGATGGGCAGAGGATCTCAGGCTTATGGGAAATAACACCAGGTCTGTTCATTATTACAGTTTGTTTCCTTACCTGATAGTATCATTCCCATAGCAACCTACATCCCCTATGCCAAGATCATCAGCCATCAACAGGACAAAGTTTGGCTGCGTGATGGTGGAAAGCTGTGCCAGTGGTGGCTGCAGAAGCAGACCAAAAATCATGGACGTGACCAGGGATGTCCTGAAACACAGAAGAAGAAAAGAAGCCAAAGGCCTGTCCATTCATCCCTCCCACTACTCATGGCCAAAGACCTTCCCACATGAGCTTGTCTGTAGACCAGACCATTCTCTGCCCAAAACACAAAGGGCATCTTAGATTTTGATCACTGACCCAAGCAGATGTCATAAAAAGGAAAGTGTCAGGAGCATAAATTTAAGATATCCTTTCCCATTTTTTTACAAACTTCTCATGAGCAGTGTCCCTTGGGAATCTACACATTAAAGATAATGAAAAAAATATTTTGCTTTAATAATTTGAGATGTTTCTAGAAATTGGTTTGGGAAACCGAGAATTTGGTCAGCTTCCACTGACATCCTTCTTGTTCAGATTGAGACCTTTGTGTTAAAAACAATGGTAAGAACAAGAATCAACCAAACAGACAAAAAAAAATAAATCACATTGTGAGTATATTTTATGGTTAAAAAAAAACATTCTTTTATAATATCATGTTCTGTCATCATTAACCTTAGATCACTTTAGATTTAATAATGATATAAAAAGAATTCATGAACTCTTTCTTACCAGTAAGATGTTAGTTGCCAAATCATTTTTGCATTTGGGGTGCTCAGATCCTGTAAAACCAAGAGAGAACCTTGTCATGCTTGCATCTTCCTAGTAATCAAGGCAATAAAAATAGATAAAAACTTAATCAAAGCCTTACAATATTCATTCTGTTTTATTACTTTAGTTTGACTTTGATCAGCTCCTACATGAAGAATAGTAAAGGCATTAAAGTAATTTTTATTGATAGGACTTCTTCACTTCTTAGAGGAATTTTGTTCTTTTGTGAAGTTTTTCTTAAAGTAGCAAAATATTTCTTCTTTGTTACATGTCTTAGCTTTATAAAAATACTTAGAATTCAGTCACAAAGAAAAGATCTCTTTAAAACCTAGTCCTCAATATCATTATTTTTCTGTAATCACAGAGACAGAAGCAGCCTGCTGCTTCTTCTTATAATGTGCCAAGTTTCCTTTCAGGCTTATGAGGGATATCTTTAGCCATAGAAATTCTAGTCATCTTCTTTCAATGATGACATTTTCACAGAAGACACCAAATCTGTGTCCTCCTGTTGTTTGGCTTTATACTCTGAGTTGAGCCTTTTTCCTTCTTTGTATGTGTCAGATTTCAGGGTTTTAAACAATTTTCCCTTTCTCTGTACAGCTTTCTGCAAAGGTTCTTCTGGATCATTCTCTTTTACTACCAGGACAAGACAAAATGTTAAAAGGCTTTAAAGTTGAAGCTGAGTGACAAGGCTTTTCAACAGACTCCTTTCATTTTTTTCCCATGTCTGGTTAAATTATTCCAAGTGTCCCAATTTTAAAAATCTTGTTGGTTTAACTTTTGTTTTCCAGAAATTACACTATTTAGCAGCATAGTTAATAGCCATGGTTTGTACATTTTATTGATCAATACTACAAGCCTCACTGTGAAAAAGTACATTTCTGTGCTTAGAAAATTGATATTCAGACATGCACAATGCATAAATGCTGGTGCAGCACTGCTATCTACAGACATTCAAACTTTGTTTCCTGCATCTGAATTTGTGCCTTTGCTGCATCCTAGGCCTTTACAGGAGAGATACTGGAGTACAGCTCAGCCATGCTTTATGTATACATACTACTTGCCCTAAAACAGGTGAAATTAATGGGAATTTGAAGGGTTTCCTTAGAAGCTGCCTGTGAAATAGCAGGTAAAATACAGAAAACAGCTTGCTCTGCTTCATGACATTACCTCTGTCAGGCCGCTTGCTCAGTGAAAGCAGCAGGAGTGCTGCCAGAAGAACCCTAGCAGGTCCTGGGGGAATTAGAGGGATAATCAGAGCATTTTTTTCCCTGTTCCTCACCTTTTTGAGAAGAAAGAGAGGGCCCCACGTCCCCACACAGTGGTGCTGCTAACTTGGCCATGAGCACTTTTGGGAACAAAACCTTGTGGGGCCTGTATGGCTCTGCTATGGGAACCAAACCCAGCTTCAAGCAAGACTTTCCTCTCTCTCCCATTAATTAACCCCCTCAAATATAATGTAGATTTTATTCCTTTATCCATTTTAATAATCTAGGAGGTGGGGTGGGGGTGTAACTTGCAGGTCTTCCTTACCTTACTGTTTTCATTTACTGACTGAATTTTTTATGTCCATCTCTGCTTTTCTATCAAAATCCTCACAAGATACTGAGATCCCAATTCAAGCCAGTTTGCATACGATAAATTATTCATATTTTCTGATATGCTCAGATGCACTTTTCACATTCTTTATTCTCAGATACTTTTCACAAAAACAGTACCCATTTGTGGCATCAGCTACGTAACACTCAGTGGAAGCTCTTCCAGGTTATATTCCATTCAGTCTGCTACTCTTCAGACTGTCAAAATATCTTCTAAATAGTCCTTATCTGTAGTCTTCGCATAGATAAAAAAAGTCAGACTCACTCACAATAAGTTCGCTGCAGCCTTCGAAACACTTCCTCGAGATATTTTTATCTACAGCAGCAAGAAACTTTTTCAAACACCCGTTAAAATTTTCCTGAGCATTTCCAGAGACAGCAAGGGAGAAATACAGTACCTGGTAATATCAAGTTAGGCTCAAAGCAGGCAGCTGATGCACTGGAGTGTGAGCTTATTTTCAGTCGACTTAAAAACAAACCAATTTTTCGGCACAGCAACTACTACTACAGCACGGCATCTAACATCTGTTGCTGAAGGCAGTCCTTAAATCTGCCCTGGCTGCTCATGCGCATTTTTCCACAGGAAAGCCTTGCTGTACTAGAGCTAACAAGCCGCTGGATGGTCTGACTTACACTGGAGTCCCTCAAGCTGTACATCCTGCCATTCGCACAACGACAACATTCATACAGGCATGAAGATCAGGCTGGGAGCACCAGAAATGTAGCTAAAATGCTTTTTGCCCAGCCACCGTGTTTTCACAGGAAGCAAAGAACCTCCTTCAAGTCTGACAGGCTCCAATGAAAGACGCTATAAGTAACAGCTCCCAATAAACCTCCCCGCATTCCACCAAGGAGAACAGAAAATTACTGTACTTACAAAGCAGCAATTCTTTGCCTGTGGAAACAGGAATGGAGTGCATATCTTCACTTTATGGCAACCCCAAGCACCAGCAGTGATGACGAGGTCACCTCTGCACATGCAGTAAGAAGCAGTTTTAGGGTGTGGGAAGGAAATGGCAGGAAGAGACCTGAGTTTGCCTTTGCGGAAAATGAGTCATTCAGCTTCATATCTGAGCATTGCCTGTTTTCTAGTCATGTGGGCTAATGCTTTCTTTCTTAACTTTTCTTCTTTGAGCCCTGTTGTACCAAGCGTTTTTGGAAAATATGAAATACTAACAAACAACAATCTTGCATTGCTGACACAGAATTTCCTGCGCTTTCATGCCTCAAAAGAGAAGGGATGTTGTTACGAGTTGGTGGTTCACCAGCAACTGCAGTGCTCAGGTTACTTTGCTAGTGGAACATGTCTGAGGCTAGCTACAGCACTGTACAGGACCCCTATTCCACTCTCTCCCAACCCAAAATTTCCGTGCTGGAGAGGTTACAGCTGGCGCACACAGAAATGATGTCTTTGGTTTCTCTTCTCTCCTTCTACACTCAGTGCCTGCTTCCTTATCCGCACCCTCCTCTGCAGTTACTCAATCTTTACATCTTCAGTTCACTTTCCCCTTCACTTTAGCATTTCAGGATTCATTAACACACATGCAGTTTCTGATTGTCTCATGCCCTCTGCTGTTGTGTGTTTTCTAAAATGAAAGCACGTTCAGAGTTGCTGCATTTTTCTGTCCAGGATGCAATCAGTCCCAATGCTGACAGGGGCAGGCCCTCTTGCAGCTGGGGTCTCCTCCACAGCTCTTCTGTTGCTTCTTATGGTTTTCCATGGCTTCTTGCAAATTGTATAGTATTTGTAATGGAAAACCACAAAGTATAACTGCTGTGTTATTTACTAAATTTAGAGTGTAGCAGAAAATTGAATACACGTCTACAGTGACATTGCAGGAACATGTCTCCTTGTTTTATTTGTGGCCTTCTAACTCATAAGGAGCTAGCCCAGATCACTACTGTGTAAGCAGCACTCCTTAAAGCCTGGCTACTGGCAATTGCCATCTGGGCACAACTAGGGTGTAAGGAAGATAAAGGAAGAAGAGTGGTTCTTGTAGTTTAAGGAGAATCCTCTCACAATGGCAAGTGGTGTTTATTTTGGTGTTTTATCTTGGAGAGGGAGAAAGATGAATGCCCTTTCACTGATGCCACATACAGAGGGCTTTTTCACAAGTTCTAGGCCAAGCTAATTCTGTTCCCTGCTGCTGCACTATCTGTACCTATTTTCTGTGGGGAAATCTTCAGAAAGCCTGTATTTATTCTGAACTAGGAATGAATGTGGAATTTTTCAAAAGTCTTGCATACGTCTTTTAGCCTTATTTTCTTTAAAACAAGTGCTGGAGGAAATATCACTTACCAACCTTTTTAAAGTACCTCAACATCTAGGATTTTGAAGTCCCAAACTAGTAGCAGTTTCATAGTAGGATATGATGATTAAGAGTCTCCCTCTAGCGACTAATTTATTTTTGAACTTTTGTTAGGTTTTAAAGAATATTTGGTTTATGCTCTATCTTTCTAGAAGCCATTGCTGCTCTATTTTTCTAAAAGACATTTATCCCTGTATGCGATGATGTAAAATGGTGTGATTTCTTTGAAGTCTGATTTACATTGGGTCTTCCAGGATTGAATGCCTACCAGCAGTTGCAGAGCCTTACCTGTCATCCTGGAAGCAAGTATTCCAGGTTTGCATCATCTGAAAGCAACTTGGTGCTTGTACTCCAGGACTACTCTGCAGCATTAAATGGAGTGCAGTGAGTGGGGGTGACTGGGAGACAAGCTTCAGAAGTGCAATCATAGTCTAGGTTAAAGCAGAAATTCAGGTGCTCCCATTACCTACTTCTGGCCCAACTTGGAAAACACTTGGCCACAAGTATCAGAGAGCAATTCAGATCACTTACACACCATCTAACCTCACAAGGGAACCTAAAAGTCTGTGAGTGTTTCCATTCTGAAAAGCAATTTGCTGTAGTGTAGTCTAAAACAGTGCAAATGGTAGGGACCAGATACATGCATGTAGGTATGATCTAACTGTTAAGCAGAACAGGATGAGAACTAACCTGATAAAAAAAAAAAAAAAAAAAAAAAAAAAAAAGATCTTATTTTATTTTTTCTGGATCTTGCTCCCATGATTTTTCAGTGGATTTTTCTATTAGAAACTGTGAAGAAGGTGTATGAAGAGCCTTTAAAATGGGAACAATGCAATGAGCCCAAACTGGTACACAAAAACTCTGTCTAAACACCAGGCAGCACTGTGCAGGTGATGTAGCCTTGGCACAGGCAGCCCGGAGAGGCTGTGGGGTCTGCTCCTTGGAGATCTTCCAAAGGTGCCTGGAGATGGGCCTGGGCAGCCTGTGCTGGGTGGCCCTGCTGGAGCAGGGGTCGGAGCAGATGGTCTGAGAGCTCCCATCCAGCCTCAGCCACTCTGTGGTTCTCTGATGCCGTGAAACATGACTCTGGACTACCCTTTCATGAATCCCACCTTTTACGAGAGGCAGAAGTTAGCTCTCTTCAGCTGAGGAAAACCTGCAGTAGGTGATCCTCAGTGGAAAAGAAATTGTCTTCATCTTGGGCTTTCCTGCACGAGAGAGTACATAATTCAGATTCCTGAGGCCCTTGTGCTGTACTTGGTCATGCACTTATTTTGTCCCAGGTTTACATATGCTTTTTTTTCTGTTGCCACAGTCCTTGTGTTGTCCTACAGGGGTGGTTGCTTCTCTGTCTGCCATCCAGAGGGACACCTGGCTCTTCTAAGTACTGTATCATCACTCCCGCTGTTGACCCCCTCCAGACTATGCAGGCTGAGTAAGCATCCGTAGCAGTCTGCTTTGACACTACTCTTTAGGAATGTCATGTGTAAGTTAAATGAGTTAAAACAGGCAGGAGGTCTTTCATCTTCCTTTCCATTGCACTGAAGGTAGAGATAACCTAGTGTGTGAATATACATGTATGTATATATACATGTATATATGTATACACATAACAGAGTTTACAGAGTTTATTTCAAATATTTATTCCTTTTTTCCCCACATGATAAAGAGAGTAAAACAGAAGATTAAGATTTTTTAGGTAGTTGAGATGGCTAGACTAAAATGTACATTGGAAATATTAGGGAAAAACAATAAAACAAGAATGTATTGATCTCACTGCTTGAGAAATAGTGGTGAGATGTGAAAAAATCATAGATTTTATCAGACAAGCTACAAAATACACAAAACATTTTTATTTTGACAGTTTGCAAAAGCAAGGACCCTATCTAACATGTTATTACAACTGCTGTCCTTTAAAACTGCTTAAAACAGTAAGAGGCTGGGATAAAGCATGTGCTTGAAGCTCGGAGGTATTACCTGATCCTGTATTTTGCCATCTTATGAAGTTTCCAGCAGTGCAATGGTTCTTGCAGATACCAAGAGCTACACTCACAATGGGGTGTTAGTTCAGCTATAGAGGGATGGTTAAAAGATGGAAGTATTTAGTTTCAGGCTGTTTTCTGATGCTGAGACTAAATATACTCATACTGCTTGAGTCTATCTAGAACACTTCCTATGACAATTTTATAAAATATTTTTACTAACATGGTAATTTATAAGGTAACACAGTGGAAAACTACAAGGCACTGTTGTCACTAAATGAAAAGAGCTAGATAAGCTTAAAACTCATGAGGTGTTTCAGATTTTCAATATTTTTCAATATTTTTCTAAACTTGAGTATGAAGTCAAAAATATATTTATGCTAGTATACTTTATCAAAGATTTTCAAAAAGAAGTATAGGAGGTTTTAGTTTTCATTGCTTATTCATTAGCAATTAATGACTATTAGTAATTGGGCATTATATAAAATGCCAGTAAAATAAATGGCCTAACAACTTTGAGTGTTCCATATTCAAGTCAACTTTTCTGTCTATTGAAAAGTGATCCTACGATAAAGGAAATAAGGAGGATGAGAGACCTTCTGCCTGTTATTAGTCATTTAACTTAAAAGCAACAATTCCTACAACATGAGACAGGAAATCTGTAATTCAGCATTCACAGAACTATGGGAGCTGAAAAGGTGAAAGATCTTGAGACTCCTTAAAAAGCTTGAAACAGTATGACAGAGCACGTGTTGCATGTAGATTACATATGACTTGCAGGGGACAGAACAACACTCATATGTATCTGTAAAAAGCCCCAGTGGCAAAGCTGAAAATAGATTCTGGAGTACATTTTGGTAATGATTACTATTCTAGAATTATAGAAATTATGCTCCTTGTTACTGCAGCTCACGTGCCAACTTAAAACTGTCTTCAGTATTTTCCTGGCAATCGTCACAAGCTTCAGTGACTGGGTTTTGAATTTCAAAACCATGACATGATTTGATTTCAAGCCTTCTAATTGTAATCCTCACACTGAGAAAACAAAGAAAAAAAAAGAATAATGCTGGCCTGTACATACAGAGTATTATGAATAGTTCTTGTTAAATCAAAGTCCCTTTAAATAGTATTTTTGTATTATAAACTTGGGGAAGAGCATTTGTCCTTTGGAATCAAGGATCCACTTCAGAAAACAACACCTTGCGTATTTCAGACCAGAAATCACATGAATTGCCCACTTCAACAGCTGAGCACCTGAACAGCTCCAGCACTGCAAAAGGGGGATGTCAGTTCATGACAGTTCAAATAGGTATTTTTTGCACTCTCAGGCAAGGCAGCTTTGCTCCAGAAATCAGTGATGGGAAAATTCCTGAGGAAGCTGCATAGAACCAACTTTGCTGGGATGGTCTACATGGAACAAAAACATGGATTAGGTTCTGTGAAATGTTTTTATATCAGTGGCATTCTTAAGCCA